GAAATACTTTGGTTATTTTAAATGGGGAGCTCTTAGTTCTAGTTTTAGAGTGAGGTGGGGGCACAAAAATGAGAGGGATCGAGGGAGAAGATGGCATTTGAGATAGATTCTGACCAAAAAAATCGATAGTTGGAGATGTGGCAAGTATAAAGGATAGGTTAGGTCACATACTGATACAGTAAAATAGTGAGGGTGATACAAGATTATAGAGTAGCCCCACTGAGCATGTAAGATAATATTGAAAAAAAGCTGGAGAAGTAAGTTAGGCCTTAAATGATGGCTAAGGAGTCCGTGTTTAATTTAGAAAGCAACTACAGTGTACTTAAAGGCAATAATTAGCAGAAGACAAACTATTAGAGCAACTGTAATAGTTGAATAAGGAATAACAAGGTCATATTTGACACGTAGTATAGCATAGACAGGCAGGCAGACCTGGGCTATTTATTAGTGGTATGATTTGATATGGTATTTAAACTCACAAACTCAAGTTTCCTCATTTATTTCAAAAGACTGTTGTGATTGAATTTATGTAAAGAGATTAGCACAGTGTTTGGCATGCAGCAAATGGTTGAATTAATCAGTGATATTTCAGCTGCAACTGATAAAAATTCACAAATCAGCATAAGCAAATAAAGTAAATTATTAAGAGGCTACTGACAAGATCAATGGAACAGAATAGAGAGCCTCAAAATAGAGCCATACTAATATAGTCTAATGATCTTAGTCTTCTCAACAAATGGTGCTGGAATAACTGTACATCCATATGCAAAAAAATAAATCTAGACACAGATCTTATACCCTATATAAAAATTAACTCAAAATGTATATAGACACAAATGTAAAATGCAAAACTATAAAACTCCTAGAAGATAACATACAAGAAAAATCTAGGTGACTTTGGGTTTGGTGATGACTTTATTTTTTTACAGCAGAAAAAAAAAGCTTTATTAGAAGTGATAGTACACTTCTAGACTTGGAAGTGGGCCTCAGCAAGAGAAGAGTGGCTCAAAGGCCTGGTGATGACTTTTTAAATACAACACCCAAAGCATAATCCATGAAAGAAAAAAAAAAATGATGAGTTGGACTTCATTAAAATTAAAAGCTTCTGCTTTGTGAAAGATACTTTTAAGAGAAAGAAAAGACATTCGCAGGCTGGGAGAAAATTTTGGAAAACATGTATCTGGTAAATGACTGGTATCTATAATCTATAAAAGACTCTTAAAACTCAGCAACAAGAAAACAAACCCAATTAAAAATGAGCAAAAGATCTGAGGCCTCACCCAAAAAAGATTTACAGATGAAAATAAGCATATGAAAAGACGCTCAACATCATATGTCACCAAAGAATTATGAAATAAAGCAACAATTACATACCACTACACATCTATCAGAATGGCTGAAATCTAAAATGCTGACAATACCAAATGCTGGTGAGGATATGAAGCAACCGGGACTCTCATTTATTGCTGGTGGGAATGCAAAATGGTACAGCCACTTTGGAAGACAGTTTGGTGGTTTCTTACAAAACTAACCTTACTCTTATCACACAATCCAGCAATTATACTCTTTGGCATTTACCCAAATGACTTGAAAACTCATGTCCACACAGAAACCTGTACATGAGTATTTAAGTTAGCTTTATTCGTAACTGCCAAAAGTTGGAAGGAGCCAAGATGTCCTTCAATAGGTAAATGGATAAAAAAAAACTGTGGTACATCAATACAAGGGAATATACTTCAGCGATAAAAAGAAATGAGCTATTGTGCTATGAAAAAATAAAAAAACATGAAGGGAAGTTAAATGCATATTGCTAAGTGAAAGAAGTCAATCTGAAAAGCCAACATACTATATCATTTCAACTATATGACATTCCAAAACGAGCAAAATTATGGAGGCAGTAAAAAGATCAGAGGTTGCCAGGGGTTCAGGGGGAGAGAAGGAAGGAGGGAAGTACACAGGATCTCTGTTATTTCTACAACTACACATGAATCTACAATTAGTGGAAAAAAAGTTCAACTTTTAAAAATTTCATTAGGCTTATTTTTTCATCATCCGACTGCAGATAACAGTTTTACCAGCTGTTTTGCTATCATATAAGTCACCGCATTTCAAGTCTTCAATAGAACTTTCTAGTTGACTTCGTATCCCAGATTCCCCACACAGCCACCAGCGTCAGATATAAATCTAGGCCTTCTGGGGATGCAGGGAAAAGAGATGTCATTATTCGTGACATGTGAAGAAAACCTGCCTACCGACCAGAGAATGAAAACAAAGAAAACAAGAGAGAAATCAAATTCCCTGTTTTAGCCCCCGAAGCCCTGGGCTACCTTTGTTTCTGGGAATTACCTCAATAACCATTTTTTTAGAGCGTATTAAAAAAATGTTTTTTCATTAAGACGTATGAATTGTGTATATATATATATATATATATATATATATATATATATATATATATATATATATATATATATATATATATATATATATATATATATATATATATATATATATATATATATATATATATATATATATATATATATATATATATATATATATATACATATATATTGCTTAGTGATTTTTTAAATTACTAACTATATTTTTAGAATAGTTTTAGGTTTATAGAAAAATTGAGTGGAAAGTACAGAGAGTTCCCATATCCCCCCTTATTCCTCCACCCTAGTTTCCCTATTATTAATACCTTCCATTAGTTTGGTACATTTGCTACAATTGATGAGTCAACATTGTTACATTAAGTAAAGCCCATAGTTTATATTAGGGTTCACTTTTGTGTTTTACATTTCATGGATTTTGTTCAATGCATAATGCCATGTATTCACCAATATAGTATCATACTGAATAGTTTCATTACCCTAAATATCTCCAGTGATGTCATTTAAATTGCTTTTCCCTTATAGGTAAGGTGTTAATTTTCTCTGGATGCTTTCAAGATTTTTCCTTTGTCTTTAGTTTCTACACATTTAACTATGATGTTAAATCTATTAGCACAGATTTTTTTTTTTGATTTATCGTATTGGGAGTTCACTCAAATTCTTGAATCTGTAAGATTATGTGGAGATCTCTCTATTAGAAAGGAGGGGTAAACTCAAACAACTGGTTACAGTGATATTAAATGTAAGGCCTCTTGTGGGGAAGGAAATCCAAGCTCTAACTGAGAATAAAGGAGGAAAGTTCTGGGCTGTCTGTGCCTATGGCTGTTGGAAAAGTAGTCATTTATAAAACTGGTCTTCCTAGAAACAGGAAAGATGAAAAGAGAAAAGCAGGTATTACAGTAATATTGATGGGACCTAGAAGAAGGAATTACAATATCTATGACTTACTATAAATCAACTGCTAGACTGAGAGTTGTTACTTTCTCTGGAAGTGGTTCTTGTAAGGTTGTATAAATCCTTGACCATGGGGTGAGGGGGATGGGAATTTGTGCTTACTTCACTGTTTCTTTACTCTGCCCCTTAAATCTTTAATTGTATTTCTCAAAGACATCAATTATATTAGAGATACTGAGACAACTTTTAGTATTTATCTTTACTACAATTAATTTTCTTTCTAAAATACAAACATTTCCCCATTCCCTTTGATAGCGATAGATTCAATTAAAAGGTCAATCTTAAAACAAGACATGAAAATCAAAACCTATGTTTGGAGAATATACACATGTGTGGGCTTTCAGATCATATTTCAGTAATCCTCTACCTAACAAGAGAAAGTAAAAAAATGTATGTGGTTTGCAAAATAGAATGAAGGCTGGTTGCTTCAATATCGTTATATATCCATTATCATATAATTAGTCTCTGCTTCTTTTTAACCAGTTATTTTTAGAAAGCAGAGCTACTTAAATATAAATAATTTTTGATTGGTTACACCACTATGATGTCAGATGGAACCCAATAACTTAGACCAGAGTAGGACAGCATATTACACCTCTCTGAAGTCACTAAGTATATATAAATATATAGGAAAAATTATATTTTATCATTTGTTCATTGTGTTCTTACTTCAAGGCTATTGTTAATATTTGATATGTGGAGCAAAGAAAACAGTACGTGTGCTTTAACATATATAGACTCAGATCAGTTAATATATGAAGTTCTTAGTTTTATTCCTGGCCTATAGTAAGGCCTCCATAAAAGTTGGCCATAATTTTTATAATTCTTACTAATATTCTCTCTCACAATGTTCTTTAAAGTGCCTCACCTCACAATTTTAGAATACTGGATCCTCTCGACTTCATTTTCTGTCTTTAGTATACACTTAGCCAAATCTTATTCTTACACAACTGGCCATAGATGGTTGTTGGACTTCTACAATTTTTCCCATTGTTCAAACTTGTTTTCGAAACCCTAAAATAGAAAATCCCATTGGCTGCAAACACCCAACAGCAAATATATGTCTTGCCCCCATTTTTCCTGTCTCAGTCTATGTGTCCTGTTCCCTGCTACCAACTAGAGATGCATAAGACTTCATATCTAATCATAAATTCTTATGAACCTAGAAATCTTCGTATATTTACAAAGAAAATGCGAGGGCATGAGAAAAGGGAGATTCCCTTTATCCAGGGCATGTAGAAGACTTCCCACACGGTTTCAAACAGGGCAAAATTTGTCCACTTATATATTTGGGGCTGTGTCCCTTTTAAGGCTCAAAGGACTAGAAAACCCTCCCCTGAAAGGTGAGCCTACCGAAACGGGCGCATGGGGTAGTCAAAACTCTATACCGCATTACTGGACAGCGACCTTCGGGCCGCTCCAGCTGCAGCGCATGCGCCACAACTGCCAGCCTTCTTGCTGGGTGTCTTTAGCTCATTCTGTGTTTTTTTTTGCTCTCTTTCGGCTCGTTCCCAAACTTCCGTTCGAATTTCCCGGCTATGGCAGAATCCACCAATCACAAACGTCCTTCATCGGGCCACGCCCTTCCATTGCCCAGTCCGGGAACCCGAGATTGATTTCGCGCACACCCCTCCTTCCCTACGCACGCTGCGCGCAGACGTCGGCCTCTGACGCCGTCGTCACCCCTGCGCGGACTCCCCCTAGGGCCGCTCCCTCCGACCGTTGGGTGTCCTGTAGAAGTCCCTCCTTTAGGACTTCCCCTCTCCGCCAACCGTTCTTGCGGCTGCAACCCATGTGGGAGTTCGGGCTCCTGCGGTCGCCGCGGCTGCTGCTCCTGTTGCCGCAGCTCGGACTCGGAGTCGCCGCCTCACGCTTTCAGGCCGGAACCATGAACTTGGGCGGCGGCAGCAGCAGTGCGCGATGCTCCCCTTCCGACGAGGACCGCCAGTGCCTGCATCTGTCCACGGTGCCAGGAGCCGACCCGCAGCGCAGCAACGAGTTGCTCCTGCTGGTGGCAGCAGCGGAGGGACCGGAACGGCGGGGTCTCTCTGGGGACCGGGCGAAGGAGGGGCCTCAGCCGCAGCCCCAGCATCACGTTCTCTATTTCCCCGGGGATGTACAGGTAACCTGGGGCCTGCCTGGGCACCTGTGCGTATGCGAACTCCCTAGAGTCTCTCCTCAAAGCTGGTGCCGGGTTTCTTGCCTCGCCAGAACACAACCACACATGCAGTCACGGAGGTGGCTTTTCGGTTACTCCCCGAAATCCAAACCGCCGCTTCCACACCCCTGACCCCGTCCTCTTGAAGCCCCGGAGGGACGGTATCCTTGCAGAGTTAAGACCTCCGAAGAGCTAGCTGTCAGTTTAGGCTCCAAGAGAGTAGAATTTGAAACACAGAAGGAATGAGACCCATAATGGCTACTCATTCTATAACTTGGTTTCTCTTAGGGGTGTATGTGAGGTGGGGTAGGGCAGGAGACATGGCTTTTAAAATAATTTGGCACATTGTGTTACACTGGCAGTAATTATAAAGCAGGCAAACGAACAACAACAACAAAAACATTACAAAGGTATGCCACTCAGTAACCCCAAGAAAGGGAGCGTGGGCGGAAGAAATGGACAGTAATTGCTAAGCATGTCAGTGTTTTGATGTTCACCTAAATTGTGTACTTTTGTTTTTTGTGTGATTTTCTCTTTATTATCAGTTTTATAGCTGCAGGCATATAACTGTAGCTGTGTTGTCTTGGAAAGCTGGGCCTCAGTCAAGATCTTAATCTAGAGCTGTGTTGTCTAATAGGGTAGCCATTAGCTCTCTATGGCAATTTAAATTAAATAGAATTAAAAATCTGGTTCTTCTTACTAGCTGCATTTCCGGTGCTCAGTAGCAGCTAAGGTTTGTGTGTGGTGTAATGAACAGCACAAATACAGAAGAAGGTTCCAGAGAACGTTCCCATCACTCAGAGTTCTATCGGATAGAACTCTGTAGCCAGGTAAAGCTACAATATGGCTAGATGTGCTTCTTATACTATGGAACAGTATTAATGTATTGTTTTCGAAACTGATGCTTTACAATGATATACTTAAAAACTTTTTGCCCCAAGTCAAATGATGATTAAAATATCTGTAGTTTTTTTCTCATCTTCAAAATAATTGATTTAGTTAACTGCTAATAAACACTATGAAAAAACTAGCATTCAGATTTAAGAGAAGAAACTTAATTTACTCAGTCAATACCCTTTTGCTTAGTTTGAGAAAACAGCATGACATTGTTGATAGTGACTTCCAGATTGTGAACCAGCTACTATTGTGTGCATTTATAATAATGATGATGATGATAGTATGATAACTAACCTTCATTTAGCACTTACTAAGTGCTTTTAAAGTGTGCCAGCCAGAGTATAAGTACAGGTCTTTAGATGAGGTCTAAAAAATGTTAAGTACAGTTAGGGTAATACCTCCTTCCATTTTGACATCATCCATTTCTTTATGTAGCCTGAGATTCCATTAGTTTTTTTGGACAGTGATATACTGTTGATTGATGAAGAGTATGAAAGATCTGAAAATCCAGATCTATTAGAGAAGGAGTAGAGGATAATGCATCAAAAGGCTTTGAGACCAGATTGCCTAGGTTCGAACCCCGATTCTGCACTTTTTAGCTATTAAATCTCTGGTCAGTTGCATCTTCAACTATAAAATAAGAATAATAATTTATGGGATATCAGTGACGATTAAATGTGTGAATACCTACTGAATTATAATTCCTTCTCATCTTCCAGATGACCTTTTTAATTATTGGGGGTACCCTAGTGCTCAGTTCTTGGACTTTTCTTCTACCTTTACTCCTTGAGTGATCTCTTTCAGTCTGTGGCTGTACTTACTACCTATACTCTGACGACCTTCAACATTTGTGTATCTAGCTAGACATATTCCCCAAACTTTAGTCTTACCAATTGCATACACAATATTTTATTTTGAATATTTAATAGATGTCTCAAACTTAAAATCTCTGGATCTTTGCCCCTAGACCTGTTCTTCCTGCAGTATTCCTCATCTCAGTTAATGGAAACTTCCTTTTTAGTTGATCAAGTTAGAAATCTTGAAGTTATCTTTTAGTCCTTTCTTTCACATATCTTAATTCATCAACAAATAAAGTGGCTTCACCCTTTTAATGTATCTAAAAATGATCAGAATAATCATTTTAAAATGTAAGTCAAATCATGCCACACATCTTTCTGCTTAAAACTCTCCAGTAGCTGCCCATATTGCTCAGAGTAAATAAAAGCTAGGTGATTTCTTGGTGGTCTGCAAGGCCCTTCACTGTCTTTACTTTTTTCCAGCTTGTTGCTTTTCTGACTATTTCTTTTTTGTTTGTTTTACTCTGTTCCAGCCACACCAGCCTTCTTCAAATTGCTCATGGTTAGGCACACTTCACCTCAAAAGCTTTGAACATACTGCCTGGAACAGTCTTCCTGCAGATACCTATAGGATTCATTATCTTACCTGTCAAGTCTTTGCTCACAGTTGCCTTCACAGGGAGACCGTTTCTGATCATCCTATTTAATAATCAAACATATGCACAGGATCCCTGTTAACTTTAATTTTTATTTATTTAACTTACTATATTAGTTATTCATTTTGATTTTTGTCTGTCTTCTACAATTTAAGATTTATGTCTGTTTTCGTCACTGATGTAACTATGATGCTTAGTGATTGGCATGTAGTAGGTGTTCAGCAGATAACTTGTTGAATGAATGAATGTATGGAAGTTGATTTGAACATTGCATGAAGTGTTTGATAAGTCTTGGCAAATATTATATGAAATGCTTTTAGGCTCAGATTTTCTCATCCATATTTTTGTACTTGATTCTTTTGCGCTTTATGTTTATCCATAGGAAAATTACCCTGTTAATTACAGCTCATCTTTTTAGTGTATTGATCCTTTAAGAACCATTATTTGAATTTGTATCATGTGAGATTAAATAAGCATTCTTTCTATATCTTTATTCTTATTTTAGATAAGTATTGAACAGAATAGGGCCAAAAAGAATTTTGTTTGGTATCATTAGAAGCTTCACCTCATCTTAACACAGATTCATTATTTGATATTAATTAGATCTGGCTGTCCATGTAATTTTAAATCCTAATTACCATTTCTTTCTTAATGTTCCTTTTGCATTCATTTTTTGTTGTATATCCTTTTTTATTCTATATTTGTCCTTTTATCATTTATATTACAGGAAAGCTGAGGCTGTAGTAATCCATATTAGGTACCTCTTGATGTTTTTCTTATCCATCAGTAATGATTTTAGAGGGGGATCAGGATTCTTTTAAGTAGGCATTTTCTAATTTTCTTGAGTTATCTTGCTTTATAAAGCCTCAGGATATAGAATTATACTTCTTTCTTTTTTTTAATTGTAAGCTTACAATTTGGTGAATTTTGACAAATATTATAGTAATGTAACCAACACCACAATCATGTTATATAACATCTCTATCACTCTAAAAAGTACCCTCATGCCCCACCTCAGTCAGTCTCTTTTCTCTCAGCCCCAGGCAATCACTGATCTGCTTTTGTTCACTATAGTTTTTGCTTTTCTTAGATTTTCATTAATTGGGAACATCAAGATGGAAGAGATGCATAGGGTAAGGTATGTGGGAATGGGTGTGGAGCTTCCATGCTCTCTCTGAACACATCACTTTCCTAGCACCTCCATGTGTTCACCAACCTGGAAGCTATTCAAACCCGTACTTTGGGGATTTTTATGAAGGGTTCATTGCATAGTCATGATCTGTCATCATTTCCAGCCCCTCTCTGGGGAATGGGTAGTGGGGCTGAAAGTTCCAAACTTCTGATCATGTCTTGTTCTTTCTGGTGACTAGCCCCTCTCCAGGAGCCCATCAAGAGTCACCTCATTAGAAAAGAGATGCTCCTATCACCCAGGAAATTCCAAGGGTTTTAGGAGGTCTGTGCTAGGAATCAGGGACAGAGACACTGCGCGCACGCGCGCGCGCGCGCGTGTGTGTGTGTGTGTGTGTACTGTATTTTTTCACACCTGGCCATGTCAGGCTGCCTTCTTCTTAGGCTGGATCCTTCTAGCTAGCTTACTTGGAATGCCCACTTCATGCTCAACAAAGCTTTATGTCATGTCCCCTTGCCCCATTTTTGATGGTTGTACAGCTTGTGCCCAATAAAGTTCTCGTGCTGCTTTAAGAGTAGTCCACCTAGCTTAAATCTTTATCATAAATGTATATACTCTTGGAGACATGTGTGACGTTTTCCTAAATATCCTTTGTACCTTTACTTCATTAGCAGTATAGGGTGGGCCTGTAAGTTTTTGCAGGTTAGTAGGCATTTGCCTATGGAATAAACATCCCTTAATCTCTCCAAGAGATTCTCTTGCCATCTGCCTCACTGGGGATGATGAGAAGCATGCTCCTACCTCTTAACTCCTACAAAGAGAGTAAATGCATTGCATTCCCAACTGGTATGAAAATTCTCTCAAAAGAAACTCTCTCTTCCCAAAGTCTTTAGCCTTTTTTGTAGATTGGCCTTGGGTAGTTTTGGCTACTTATTAGCAGGTCCTATGAGGATGTCTGGTGTCTTTCTTTTTTTTTTTTTAAATATGGGAGTGCTTATCCATTGTTCTCAGATCTGGGCTTTAACACAACAGTTAAGAATCCCATCTTTACATTTTAGTATGCACAGTTCCTTAGCATAAGCATTTTCTCCCTCTGATCATGGGAGGAATCGAAGAAAATACCAAGTTTTTAGATTTACTACCTCCTGGTAGAGATTGAGACTCATAAAGTCTTGAGTTAATTTTGGCTCATTAACTAGATAACTACATGATATAAATAACTATAGTTTCTAGGACCTCAGTTTCCTTAGCTATAAAAAGGATTTAAATGAGCCCTTTCAGATATAAGCTTCCTATGATCACTTTAGTATAATTTTATCACAAATCTGGATGTGCAGAAGGCAATAGCATAATCCATAAAAAGTTAACTGATAGCCTTTTAATATAGATGATAAACTACTAATAGTAATAAGCTACAAAGTGTTAAGAAGGACTTCGAGCATCCTATTGGGAAAACTGACAAAGTACATAAAAAGATAACTAACACACAAAAAAGAAAATTGCCAATAAACATAGAAAAATATTCAACCTGATTAGGAATTAAAACATGCAAATTAAATTAAAAGTAAGATATTTTATCATAGTAGCAAAGGTGTTTTAAAAATTACTGCTAATAGCCAGTGCAGGCCAGGTTGTGGGAAAATAAGCACTCTTATATACTTCTAGTGGGAATGTAAATTGATATTAATCTTTTTGACGGGAAGTCTAAAAATTATGATGCAAATTTATATTGGTATTGAATCATGCCTATAGTTAAGTGAAAACTGCATGTGTAAGCTTGTAGGGGAAGAATGCTCTCTTATATACATATTTATATGTGTATGTATATTAAAGAAAACTAGAATCCTAGACACCAAAATTTAATAATGATTATTTCTAATTGGTGGTTTTATGGAGGGTTTTTCTATCTTTTTTGTAGCTTTAGATGTAAACTGAATTTTTGTAGCATTTATTTTAATTTTCAAATAGAAAATTTTCAAATAGCATTTTGCTAAAAGTTTACTTTATTTGATTGTACATTGAAAAGTAAGTTTTCAGTCTATGGCCACGCCACCCTGAACGTGCCCGATCTTGTCTGATCTCAAAAGCTAAGCAGGGTTAGGCCTGGTTAGTACTTAGATGGGAGACCACCTTGGAATATCAGGTGCTGTAGGCATTTAAATACAAAAAAAAAAAGCAAAAAATAAAAATAAAAGTAAGTTTTCTTTTCATCCCATTCCCTCTAGAGTTCCATTTTTTTTCCCCAAGGCTATCACTGTTACCAATTTCTCTGTCTTTCCGGAGACATTCTATGCTGATGCAAACTTTTTTTAAAACAAATGGTAGTATAGCATACAAGGGTTTTTTAGCTCTTATCCTACAACCCATAGGAGTACTCATAGAGCTGTCTCATTCTTTCGAAGCAGAAATAAATATCATAACTATTTATTCATATATAAGTATATCACTGAGATAAATTGCTAGAAGTGGAATTACTACGTCAAAAGGGAGGCACATTTAAAACTGTTTGCTATAGAGTATATGACTTAAGAATAAAGAAAAAGTACCAGTTTCTCTTTCTCTCACACCCTATGTCCAATCCATCAGCAAATGCTGTTGATTCTGCTTTCAGAATATATTCAAAATCTGACCACTTCTTACCGCCTTTGCTTCTACCACCACTCTGGTTCAAACCACCTTCTTTCACATCAGGGTTATACTTGAGTAGCCTCTGCTTCAACTGTTACCCCTTCACATGTAGTAATCCTTTCAAAACACAAATTATAACAGCGGAAGACTGTCATATCATAGCAAAAGCCCAAGTCTTCACAATGTTTTACAAGGCATGATCAGCATGACCCTCCTCCCAGCAATATGACTTCCCTAGTGATGACTTTTCCTCCTCCTCCACTCCGCTGGAACGCCTCTGGCCTCATCGCTGTACCTTGGTTATGCCAAGCATGCTTCCACTTCAGGGCCTTTTGCAATTGCAGTGTCTTATGCCTGAAATATCATGATTCATTTCCTCAGTTCCTTCAGGTCCTTCTCAACAGTCATCATATTGGAGACCACCTGTGTTTTACATAATCTCCTGCCCTGCCCTCTCCAAAACCTTACACTCCTTTTCCCCTGCTTTATTGTACTCCATCGCACTTACTGTTATCTACTGTTTTGTGCTGTCCAGACACTAGCCACTTGTAGCTGTCGACCACTTGAAATGTTAGTCTAATCAAGGAACTAAATTTTTAATTGTGTGTAACTTTAAATCTAAAAACTTAAAAAAAAAAAAAATCTAAAAATCGATTCTCAAGTCAGTTCCTGGAAAAGTTTTAAGTGTGTTTGAACAACTTAGTATGTGAATCTACTTTTTCAACAGTGAATTTTATGAAATCTAAATTCAGATTAAGTTATTTCTGATGAAAATATAGCATCCAAATTGAGATGCCCTGTAAGTGTAAAATACACACTGGATTTCAAAGACTAAGTAAGAAAAAGAAATGTAATAATTTCTCTGTAGTTTTTTATATGGGTTGAAGAGGTAATATTTTGAATATATTGGGCTCAATAAAATGTATTAAAAATAATTCTCACATGTTAACTTTTTTAGTTACTAGAAAATTTTGTGTAGCTTATATTTCTGTTGGACAACGTTGCTCTATTTACTAATGGAGTTGTTTGTTGTGTATTTCTGTACTTACAATGTCAGCTCCACATAGGCAGGAATTTAGTCTGTTCTGATCCATAACCAATCAGGTATCTAATCGATTTTATAGAATAAATAAATTTGAATTTCCTTTCTTTTAAAACTATGAATAAAAATTAAAAGGAAAATAAAATCTACGTGCATGTCTTAGAACCTAAACAAAAAGTTATTAATACATATAGAATACTTATAAATATAAGATGCAATTAAAAAGGGGTAAAAGACATGAACTTACACAAGGAGAAATCCAGATGGCTAATAAATATATGAACAAATTTCAACTTCAAATTGTCAGTAAATACAAACTAGAGTATCATTCCTGTGTCTATGAAATTAACGAAGATAAAAGTTATATATACTTCTCTGGAAGACAGTATTAAATTATAATCTAGTTTTTCCATACCTAGGAATTTAAGAATGTAATCACAGATGTGTCAAAAGATTTTTCTATAACGTCCATTGCAGCTTGGTAAAATAAAAATTGAAATCAAACAGGATTCACGTTGCTAGAGTTATCCAAAGAGGGAGGAATGCAGGATGGCAGTTTTAATAGGAAAATATTTTTAAATTCTGTGTTGGTTAAAAAGCATAATAAACCAAATCTTTGTTTTGGTTGTTAATGTGTTATGAATAATAGGTTGTATGTATACTAAGTAAAATATATTAAAAATATCCGTAATCTTGAAATGTGTTTTATTATTTAAATTCCTACTATGCTGTTTAGCTTTACTTTATAACCCTGTCTTTTGATGGATTTGAGGCTTAAACTGAAGATTTGTTCAAAATCTTATAACCAGAAATAACATTTAGTTTTTATAGTATGTTAATCATAGGTCATTACCTCCCAACTTCCTCAGTAAAGATGAGAAACTATTTTGCAGGAATAGGTTTATATAAATGTGTATTTAATGCTTGTTTCATCTTTCTTACCTTTCAGAATTATCATGAAATTATGACTCGTCATCCTGAGAATTACCAGTGGGAAAACTGGAGTCTAGAAAATGTTGCTAACATTTTAGTCCAACGATTCCCCAATAGTTATATTTGGGTGATAAAGTGTTCCCGAATGCATTTGCACAAATTCAGCTGCTATGACAATTTTGTGAAAAGTAATATGTTTGGTGCTCCAGAACACAGTACTGACTTTGGAGCTTTTAAGCACCTTTATACATTATTAGTTAATGCTTTTAACCTAAGTCAGAACAGTTTGCTATCAAAGAAGAATGTGAATGATTTAAATAAGGACTCCAAAACATCTAATTGTAGATCCAGTTCTTCTCATACTACAAATGGTTGCCAGGGAGAAAAAGAGAGGACCTGTAAAAACTTTGATGAGTCGGCCATGAATTTTTATCCACCATCACTAAATGGTGCTGCTTTTACTTTAATTGGATTCAGTAAAGGATGTGTTGTTTTGAATCAGTTGCTCTTTGAACTGAAAGAAGCTAAGAAAGACAAGAACATAGATGCTTTTATCAAAAGCATAAGAACAATGTACTGGCTGGATGGTGGTCATTCTGGAGGAAGCAATACTTGGATTACTTATCCAGAAGTCTTGAAAGAATTTGCACAAACAGGCATTATTGTTCACACCCATGTAACACCTTACCAAGTACGTGATCCAATGAGATCTTGGATTGGAAAGGAGCACAAGAAATTTGTTCAGATACTTGGAGATTTTGGTATGCAGGTGACTAGCCAAATTCATTTTGCAAAGGAAGCTCCTTCCATAGAGAATCACTTCAGGGTTCATGAGGTATTTTAACACTATAAGAATATTAATGTACTCGTTCATTGGAAGAGCAGAAGCACTTTGTTTTATAAATTCAGATGAGATGTAATTCAAAAAAGCATTTTCCATTTTGGGGGGGGAGCACACATTCCTAAAATGAGTGTAATGTGCAATAGTATTCCTTGTGAATGTGAACAGTTTTTAATTTGGACTGGGTTAGAATTAGTTCATTTGAAATCTAAAAGATGGTTTGTGATGATCCTGATAATAATGACCCTTTAGAATGAAAGTTACAGTATAATCCTTATAAAAGGTAATTATTAGAAATAGTTTATTTTCTGAGTAATGTTTAAAATTAGTTTTGGTGGCACTATAACAGTAATTAGATATTTTGGCACTGAAAACTTTTGAGTAGAAACACTATTTCTCTTCAAACAAAGCAAAGGCACCCTTATGTTTTCCATCATTTTGGAAAAATTATACCCTGCCTATATGTTTTATAAACTCGTGGAATCATTCTTTAATGTGCCACCAAGAGTTTTGAGAGTCAAAATATATCTGTTTCCCAATATCCAAGAATGTGTAGTAGTATAAAGTTTTTTAAAAACATTACACTTAAGCACTCTGGCTAAATTTTCACTTCTGGATATTTTGGAATTTCTTGATCTCAGCCCAAAACCAGTTCTTTTGGGAAAATTCTTTTAAATTGAACATAAGTATGTATATTGGATACAAATATATTACAGATTTAAAATCTTTTTATTGTATCAGTCTTTTGAAAGAGATCAACTTAGGTAAAATATATAATACTCTGTTAGTGCTCTGTTGACAAGGAAACATATACAGGTCTAAGTCATTTTTTCTCCAGAAGCATTTTTGTCTGCCAAAAGAAAGTAGCATTCTTTGGCCAAAATGCAAATTATATTGCTATAGAAAAGTTACAAGGAAAAGGTTGAAGACAAATGATTTAATTTTGACTCAGAAACTTAGTTTGCCTAATACTGCTACATGATTTGGGTGAGGTTCCTTCTGCATATTTTTCTTGACCTAAATAAAATACATTGACAAAGTAATATCAACAAACATTGAAATGTAGCTGTGTAATTGCAATAAAGAGTGGTCATATTTATAATTAGTTTTTGCAGGACATGAAAAAAGCATGCAAGTAACATGCTGCTTTCAGAATAAGAAAAAAGACAATATCTTAATAACCCAGAGGACCTAAATTTATAATTAAAATGTTAATTTCTTATTTTTTCCCCAAAATATTTTAATGACTCTATACATTCCAAATATTCAGACTTAGGATAAAGAATTCTTAACCAAATGCTTAAAAATAATATCCCTTAATTGTATGAACTAGAGTAGTATCTCTAAATGTTATATATTTTTTTGAGGACAAAGTAGCTTTATATATTGCTTTGGTTTCTTTAAATAACTTTTTTCCAAGACCAAAAATTCCCAACAAGGAAACAAGTCAGCCTGATTCTAGCATCTTATTACTGTGTCTTAAAGCAACATAATTGATTAGATGGCTTTTTTCAATGTTTAGTAATCCTTGGTTAAATTCATGTGTATCTAATGTAAAATTGCTGTTACTGAATGCTCTAATGGGGGGAAGGAAAGGTATTTAGTTTTACAGGATTAAAATGGAAAAATAGGACTTT